TTATTAAAAGATTTTGAAATGTTTCTTTGAAGACTTAAGTATTCCTTTGTTTATTGTTTCTGAAACTATAGTATTTAACCTGTTATTTATCATCTACCTGTGCTTGATTTCTTTTCTAGATATATTACATCTGATTCTTTTTCTTACAGCTAATTCTTTTATCTTTCTTAATGAGATTGAATAGAAAAACTACTTTTCACAGTAAAACCAATGTAATTTGTTGATAAAAATTAAAGTTATCTGATTCAAATATGTTTTAGACCTCTTGCGGAAAATCATTGATGGGGGATAGAGTATTGATAAGCGTGAGTTTCATTTTTTTCTATCATCTCTAAAAAATATTAAACTTGGTCATCAGAAAAGAGGTTTACATCTGTGTCATTTGGCCCCTTTTATCCATGTTTATATATTAGTAGGAAGAAATAAATTCTTACTTAACAGCATGGTAATATGAGCAGAAGTATGAGAAATGCACATGGAACAATTTTACTTTTTTTACTGAAGAAATGTTAAGTGCTTGATATTTTAAAGCTAAAAAGTAAAGTTCTAGTAATTGTTTCTATGTTCTTTGTATAGCGAATAGTTTTAAAGACACATTGTAGAACCCCCAAATAGATCATTTTAATATAAAAGTTGTTTAAAATGTATGAAAATCAGGCAAAATAGTGTACAAATTTATATAATGTGATCACAAAATGATTAGAAATGTGCTGCTTTTGAAGCATGTTTTAAATACGTTGATAACATAATCTTTGTTAAATGTTTGCAAACATTAATAAAAAAGCCAGGATCATATTTTTAAATGGGTTTACTTCTTGCCAACTCCTGTTTTATCAGTGCCTATACTACTAAACACACAAGAGTAAACATTCTCAAAAGTAAAGGATTTTAATAACAAAACAAAATTTTAGATGTCAATAGAAGATAGTTATTTTTAGCCAAAATATATGTACATATATTACTGGCAAAGAAAGGTATGGTGATTAACAGTACTTTGTATTTTAATATCAATATCATATAAATGATTTCAGTTTTAAATGATTTAATCCCATATATTGAAAAAGCTATAATTCACAACTGATATACCTAAATGTATTGATTTATTTCACTTCATTTTCTTATCAAAGAGTTTATTTTTCTGGAAATCTAATTAGGGGAATTTACCTTATTACTTACAAAGTTCTAAGCATTGTTGATGATAGAATAGTTAGACATGGTGGCAACATGCCTGTAATTCCAGCTACTCAGGAGGCTGAGGCAGGAGAATTGCTTGAACCCAGGAGATGGAGGTTGCAGTGAGCCGAGATTGCGCCATTGCACTCCAGCCTGGNAAAAGAAATTAAGAAATATTGCCTTTGCATCTTCCTTTTTATTTTCATATCAAAGAACCCCCCCTACTCTGTACAGCAGTGGTAACAATCAACAGAATGAGGAAATAACCTATGGAATGGGGGGAAATATTTGCAAACCATATATGTAATAAAAGGATTCATATTCAATATATTAAGGAACTCAAGTAACACAGTAGCATGAAAACAACCCAATTAAAAATGGGATAAGGATCAAAATAGACATTTCTCAAAAGACACCATACAGATGGCCAACAGGTATATGAAAAAGTGATCAGCATTATTCATCATCAGCATGTTCATTAAAAACACAATGAGATATCACCTCACACCTGTTATAATGACTGTTATCAAAAAGACAGAAGATAAGTATTAGAGATGATATGAGAAAAGGAACCCTTTTATACTGTTGGTGGGAACATAAATTAGTACAGCCATTGCAGAAAACAGTATAGAGATTCCTTAAAAATCAAAAACAGAACCTCCATATCCAACAACCCGATTCTGAGCATTCAGTCATTTTACACTTATAAATGGAAATATATTCTGAGAAATACATTATTGGACAATTTCATCATTGTACAAACATCATAGAGTATAATTACACAAGTCTACATATTACAGTATACCTACCTAGGTTCTATAGTATAGTCTCTTGGGCTGAGGCTGCAAATTTGTACAGCATATTACTGGACTGAATACTCTAGGTGATTGTAATACAAGTATTTGTGTTTCTAAACATAAAAAGGGTTCAGTAAAAATACAGTCTAAAAGATAAAAGGTGGTACACCTGTATAAGGCACTTACAAGAATGGAGCTTACAAGACTGGAAGTTGCTTTCGGTGAGTCAGTGAGGGAGAAGTGAGTGAATGTGAAGGCCTAACATACTACTGTATGCTACTGTAGACTTTATGCACTGTACACTTAGGCTGCACTAAATTTATTAAAAATATTTTACTTTCTTCAATAAGAAATTAACCTTAGCTTCTGTAACATGTTTAATTTATAAACTTTTACATTTTTAAACACTTTTTGACTCTTATAATAACAGCTTAAAACACACTTTATACAATTGTACTAAAATATTATTTCTTTATATTCTTTTTTTTTCCCCCATTTATTTATTTTATTGCATTTTAGGTTTTGGGGTACATGTGAAGAACATGCAGAATTGTTGCATAGGTACACATGTGGCAGTGTGATTTGCTGCCATCCTCCCCATCACCTACATCTGGCATTTCTCCCCTTGCTATCTCTCCCCAGCTCCCCACCCCCCACCGTCCCTCCCCTGTTTCCCCCAATACACTATTTTTATTTTTTTTACTTTAAAAATTTTTTGTTAAAAACTAAGACACAAACACATACATTAGTCTAGGCCTATGTAGGGGCATGATGGTCAATATCATTGTCTTCTATCGCCACATCTTGCCCCACTGGAAGGTTTTCAGGGACAGTAACAACACATACAGCTGTCATCTCTTGTGATAATAGTACCTTCTTCAGGAATACCTCCTGAAGGACCTGCCTGAGTCTATCTTACAGTCAGCTTCTTTTTTTTTTTTTTAATAAGTAAAAGGAGTATACTCTAACAATAAAAAGTATAGTATAGTAAATACATAAGCCAGTAAAATAGTCATGTATTATTATTATGTATCATACATAATTGTTCTGTGCTGTACTTTTTAGGACCATTTGTTTACCAGCATTGCCATACACATGTAAGTAATTGGCTACAACATCATTAGATGATGGAAATTTTTCAACTCTATTATAATCTTATGGGATGATCGTTGTATACATGGGCCATCATTGACCAAAACATCCCTTTGCAGCACGTGACTGTATATCTAAAGGAAATAAGATAAGTATGTTGAAGAAATATTTACACACCTGTGTTTACTGTACCATTATTCACAATAATCAACATATGGATTCATCCTAAGTGTTCATAAGATGAATGAATAAAATGTGGCATACACACACACAATGGACTTTTAGCCTTCAAACAGAAATCTTATCATTTGTGACAACATGGATAAAACTGAAGGACATTATGGTAAATGAAATAAGCCTAACACAGAAAGACAAATATTGCATGATCCTCTATTATTATTGTATGAACTAATAGTGGTTTGGGGTAGAATTATTATTAGTGGATTGGAATGCATTGGCTATATTTTTGATCCACTCTTCTATAACCCATAGTGACATTCATCAGATGGTTGGCTGGAATTCATTTCATAATCTGAAAGCTTGCAGATTTTACCCCTTTTGCAAAGTGGATTGATCCAGATTAGAATTGAATCTACCACATTCAGATAGCAGCACTATGTTCTGAAAAATTGAGCTAGCCTAGACAAATGTGTGTTAAGATATGAAATAGTCATGAAATTGCCCTTACAGAATATTATTTTTAAACACGTTTCCTCAATCATGAAAAAATGTGTCTGTGTAATCTACAGTATTTTCACTGAAAATGGAGAAATAACTGTATGAGAAATAGCCAAACGACCAAATGCTTCATTACCTGGAACTGTATTTGTTTTGTACAGAACAGCATTCTTTTTGTTTGTTTTGTTTTTGCAAGATAGACACTTTTGGGTTTATTGTGGCTGTTCAATTACATGTTTATAGAGACGTACATATATTTTTCCTGAACCACCTACTATTGATTTTGTACACTAAGCAATCTGTTGTATTTCTTAACATTTTATATTCTATACTGCTGCATTCATGCTTCAAATTATATTTCATTCTTTTTTTAGGGTGTTTCTTCTGCCTGTATAATTGCTTACTTAGAATCACAAGTAAAGCAAATACTTGTATAATTTTAAGGTCACCCACGGCTTTTACAGCATTAGGCACTTCAGTGTCTATGGAATTGCTATGCTCCAGAACCTCATTATCATGGCATTAATTTTCAGTCATAGCATACAGATTGTCCATTATGTAGGATCTTAACTTCAGTTAATGTAAAGCAGATTTTCTTCATGCTTACTAAATTTTCTTTGAGATATTTCATAGCACTTGTAAAATATTTTAAAACAATAACATCAATGCTAGTATTCATATGGAAGTAAATTTGGCTTTCTTCTTAAATTCTCCCATTGTCTTCTTTTACAAAGGAAGTGAAGATTATATTCACTTTCCCTCATGTGTCTTAGAAGATCAAGTTTTAAAATTACTATTATTTTAGAAGTTTGTTCTAAGAAAATTAACTTTGATGGCAGATGAGCTCAGGTGATCAGGACATTGATTCAGGTGTACTTGGCATAGCAGTTCATTAACTATGTGTTAATTATGTATGATTACTCCTGAAAAGCTATAGTGGCTTCTTCTTTTAGGTTGCTTCATTAAGTCATTAATTTTCTTGGAGGTAACTAAGCCTGACATAATTAAGTCATCGTAGTCTCCACAGATATTTATCTTCCCATGATGTCGAGAACACTGAGCAAGTTATTATAGAGCATTGTAACTTATTCCCTGTATGTATTGACTTCATATTTTAGGATTATATAATACTATTTTGACACATTCTTAAGTACTCCAATAAATGTATACCTTTTAATTATTTAGTTAATGTTCTAACATAGATGTTATACTTCCTGCGTAATAACCCATTTGTGTATTTGAACCACTTCTTACCAACAGTTCTTTGACCCATGGCTACATAAAGCTGCTTCAGTTTATCCAGAACATCATTTATGAGGAAGGATTTGATGGATCCAATCCCCAGGTATTAAATAGCTTCAAAGTCTTATAATCATTCCTGTTATGTTGTTTTCAAATTCTCTCGGGTGCGGGGGTTGGGGAGCAACCTAGAAGGTTTTAGAATAATAAACAGTGAACAAGCTGTTTTCAAGCACAGAACATGTAAATAAGCAGAGCACAAGCAGCCTTAGTTTGACTTTTATTGTGTATTTAGAGTTTCAGCTAAGTTCTCAGTGGAGGCACATAAGACATGCATATGCATTATCAACATCATTTTTAAATATGCATTTGTAGCATTTAGGCTTAAGTAGCTACATTTTGAGAATTACTTTTAAATCTGCAAGGCTTGTACTTTTCTATTTAAACTGTTCATGTTTCTGTCATTCAGGCCTTAATTTCAAATTACCTTATGACTAAGAATTATCTTAAGATTTTATTGTATTATGCTTTGTTTTATTGAATAAAAAATATATTTTTATTTGCCATATTAAATATTTTATAACAACAGTTTTTCTGTAGCTCTAATTTTAAAAACTTCCTCCAAATTTCCACTAATAAAGACATTCTGGTTAGTTTAACTTAAATAAAATGATTTTATTTCTACATATCATGCCTTTCAAAATTCTTCCACAGTGATTTTAATTGCTTTTGCTACTAAATGATTTACATGACATTTGTATTATTTTAGCAGAAGTATCTCTGAAGCACCATTATTTTTATTGAAGAAGACAAAGAAGCTAAAAGTCTTATTTTTGGTATTATCAGCTACATTTATGCGTAATTCATGGATTTTTAAATATTCTTATAAAGTTTATTATTATATTTTAAGTTTTTCCATGGCAAAGTAAATTATTTTAAAATTGTTTTGATTGCCAGTTTAATAGCAGGTTGAAAATACCTGTGTGTGTGTGGTAAAGTACAGTCATTTATTTATAGGTGGCTTTTCATGTATATCATAATTTTTGTAATGGCTTTTGGTATCTAATATAATTTTATTTTGCTCAGTGTTGCTCCATTTTTGGCTCTACCTAAGATTTATGGGTACTGTGCCTTTCCTTTGGTGCCAGTGCTTGTCTGGAGAGGTAAATTGGTCCCTGACAGACACCTCTCCCCACTACTGTGGTAACTATGGAAACAGGCATGTCATAACAGTTCCTATGATACAGTGTGCAGAGCTGCTGCTCCTGCAGGATGATGACACATTTTCTAAGAGCAAGAAATTTTATAGCACCCCAAAAGCAAAGACAATAGCAAAAGGAATACACACACACACACACACACACACACACACACACACACACACACACACCCATCCACCCCCTTAAGAATCCTTAACAAGTAAGCTAGTATAGGAATAGAATGAAACATTTGTTTCTTAGTTGTTTATTCGACTATGAAAACACCACTGTTTTCAAGAAACATTTTTTTTTTTCACAGAAATTTATAGACAACAAACTGGAGCTGATTTGTCTTTCTGAACCAGAGATTCTATAATTACTGACCTTTATAAAGATTAAACAGGTTTCAGGTAGACATTTCCATTGTGAATACCAAAACTGTTTTTAAATTAAAATATACCAATAAGTACTATAAAAATATAATTTTATTGAAACTAAAATATAATAAATTCTTTATAGATTGTACTGTTTGATAAATTACTTAGTCTTTGTGTCAGAAATTTTAGATGAGTTAGAGAAGCCACAGAAATGCACCTACAAGGTACTACTTCAAAAAATATTACTCCTAAGTCAAAAATAATGTTCTGACATTCAAATAAATCTTATATTTTAAAAGAAAATTTTTATCTTTTTTTAACACTGTGTTTTCAAATAAACTGAACTAATTGGAGGCAACATATAGAATAGACTCTAAGGAACAGAATATTGTTTACTACCTTATAATTAGCTTTGGTAGTAAGTAAAAAGTCATATAGCTCATTTGTAGAGATAGGGTACAGACATTTACAAATTGCGGTCATAATTTCATTTGTTATTTTTGAATGTCTTAGAAATGCATGATAAAAATGAAATTTGAACATGGATTTTACTTAGAATACCAGATTAAATATTTTGAATGTTCTCATAGGAATAAAATTATTTATTGTACAGCTTTTATTTTTTTAATCTTATGCCACACGGTATGCCCATTATTATATGGCATAGCAAAGGTATTATATGTCCTAAAGGACACAAGAGATTTCTAATTCAACCTTTGTTTTTGCAATTACCATTAAAAAAAAAATATTAATGAAGTATTATGCTAAATTATATTCTGTTGTATGGGTACCCACCTTACTTAAATATCTTATCTGTCATTCATTTTTTGGCTTAATATTTTCATTCCCTTGATATACATATATCAGTGTATCTGTCAGAATCATTAAACCTCTGTAGTGCTCCTGATTTCATGCCTAACAACATTTTTGTTATAAACTTTTATCAGGTACTTTTTAATACAATAATAGATTATGGGACAGTGGATTAAAATACCATTGATCTTTAGTTTCTGAAATGTTGACGGGGAAACAACATTATGCTGCTCTTTTGTTACCTTCGTGTTTCATTCTAATATCTAGGTGTTTTTTTTGTACATTTTCTCTCGCTTTTTCTAGAGTGCTGTTTCTGTTGAGAATCTAACTTGGTTGTTATCATGAGATAACACATTTAGGGATAGCAAAATGAACTTTAAATTCTTGCCATTTTACTTAAATTCTAAGGTTTTAAATAATAAAGAAAAAAGAATAACTCATCATATTTCACAGATATACTAATTCACCAGAAACGTATTTATACTTCTAACCTAAGCCCTGGTACATCTCATGACTTCATTTCATTCAAGTAAGGCAGAAATAAAAAGAAAACAATTTTTGTGGACCATTGAGGGTGATAACATAGGATGTCTTAGGTGGTTGTCTATCATAACCTTAACACAATCATTTTAAAAATTGGCCCAGCTGCCTACATAGTGCAATCATGTTTTACGTCCTTAAGAGTCAGGAGGTTTCTTTCTAATGTGCTTATTCTAAATTCCTTTTTTCTGTAATTTTATTCTTGTAGTCTTATCGAGGCCATTATATGCCTTCAGCTATATTGAATCATAGAACAACAATGTTATCTTCTCTCCTTTTATTTATTTATTATTATTATTTTTAATTTTATTTCTGGAAATGGAGTCTCACTGTGTCACCCAGCCTGGAGTGCAGTGACACAACCTCCGCCTCCCAGGTTCAAGGAATTCTCCTGCCTTAGCCTTCCAAGTAGCTGAGACTACAGGTGTGCACCACCACACCTGGCTGATTTTTGTATTTTTAGTAGAGGCAGGGTTTCACTATGTTGGCCAGGCTGGTCTCGATCTGTTGATCTTAGGTGATCTGCCTGCTTCAGCCTTCCAAAGTGCTGGGATTGCAAGTGTGAGCCCAGCCTCTCTTCTTAAGATGAGAAAACTGAACACAGTGGCTCACACCTGTAATCCAAATACTTTGGGAGGCTGAAGCAGGAGGATTGCTTTAGTCCAGGAGTTTAAGGCCAGCCTAGGCAACTTAGCAAGACCCTGGCTCTACATATTAAAAAAAAAAAAAGAAAGAAAGAAAGAAAGAAAGAAAAATTAGCTAGCTGTGGTGGCACATGCCTGTAGTCCCAGCTACTCTGGAGGAGGTGGGAAGATCACTTGAGCCCAGGAGTTTAAGACTACCATGAGCTATAGTAATGTCACTGCACTGCATCCGGGTAAAAGAGCAAGACCCTGTCTCAAAAAAAATAAAAATAAAAATTTAAAAAATTTAAAAAAAAGAAGAAGAAAGAAAAGAAAAGAAAGATGGAAAAAACTAAGGCCTAAGTAATGTGTGTGTCTTGTCAGAATCATACATCTGCTTTTGTTACATAGTCCTGACTATAATTCTCTCTTTTTCATTTACTAGTTTCTGTTCCTTTAGGCTTTCATCTTCTAACATTTCCATGTGTTACACATTTTTCTTCCTTTCCATGGTCAATAAATTCTGCTTGAAAAGGAATACACAAATTCAATTTTCATTTGTAATATCAGGGAAATAGATATATTGTGTTGGACAGTAACTTGTTGGTTAATAAATTTTATTAGTGGTATGTTATAGGAATAGCAAGTGATACATTTTAGGATCTTGTTTCATCAGAAATCACATATAAAGCAACAATGTTCCAAATTATGGCTTTAAGACCCATCTTGCTTTTTCATCAGTTCTAATAATGATTTTTCAATCATTTGCACATGCCAGGTTTTGTTAACACCTCCTTCTTTTGCCCAGAAATTTTACTGAATTTCTAAGGAAAGCATTTACAAAACATTTGCTAATTTACAGTAACTCAAACAGTAGAATTTATTACAAACACATCTGTTGTTAAACATTTATTCACAGTGATTTATTCACAGTTTTATTAATGATTTTTAAATGTTCTTTTCCCAAGAAATATAGTCACTTATTGTGACCTTAATTTCAGTAGGTTCAAGTTCTAACTGTTCACTTGTTAAATTTTATGAAAGATGTTGAACTTAAATTATTATTTTAACAACAGCTTCAAGAAGAAAAACCAGAGACAAATGTAAAATATAAAACCGGAAAGTCATATTTAAGCTTTTTTCAAAGAAAAGATCAGGCAGCAGGAAAGATAAAATTAAATGAGAAATACTGAACAATTTATAGTTTACTGAAAGACAGAATTTTCTAATACCGAGAATGGGTTCGCAAGCATTCTAGTTTAGAGTTGATCATTGTTATCTGTGATTTGTTATATATTTTAAGTTGCTAAGAATAACAATTCTTAGAGTTGTTATTGTTAAAGTTTAGATACGTTTAAAGCTTAAGGCTTTTGATACTCTTTAGATTTTTTGAAAGTAAAAAAAAAATTGTTATTTTTTAATCTTGTAGTCTAAATTGTTTCATTTATATTGCTTTATTTACTAATAGTACATAAAAATTTTTTAACACATCTATTGACATTATCTCCCTGATGTTATAAGAACTGACAGATAAAAGAGGTATTCTATTTATTAGCAAAACTTTATGTGTTTGCTTTTATCCCACTTTCTTTTAGAAAAAACAGAAAAACATTTTAAGAATAGGAATTCAGAATCTTGGCTCACCTTTATGGGGAGATGATATTTGCTGTACAGAAAATGGAGACAGCAGTCACAGCCTTACCAAGTTCCTCTATGTTCTCCGTGGACTTCTGAGAACCTCTCTTTCAGTCTGTATCATCACAATGCCAACACATCTGATCCAAGTAAGAACTTCCCAGAACTACTTTTTCATAACTCATGGTTATATAGTATGACATTGTGCTTTGAATTTGTATTTCCATGATAACTAATGATGTTGACCATCTTTTCGTGTGCTTTCTGGCAATTTGCTTGTCTTTTGTCTGTCTTCTCCATTTTCTATTGATAGTCTCTATCAATTTGTAAAATTCTTTGATATTTTAACTACAACTTGGTAATAATTTTCCTCTAGCCTATGAATTGCTTTTTCCATTAACAGTGTCTTTTGAAGAGCTAAAGTTTTTAATATTGATGAAGTTTAACTTATAAATTTTTTTTAATGGTTAGTGGTTTACCTCCCTCACACCTCCAATCTTGACAGTCTTTGCCCTCTTTAAGGTCTTTTTCTTGTGTTTTCCACTAAACATTTTATGTATTTTTTCTTTTACTGATGAATCAATGTGTTTTCATTAGAATTTTTTCCATAGTTTTAGTTCTTGTTCTGAATCACCTTCTGGTTTCTTTAATTACTATTCTTATGTAAAGTATATGTTAATATTAGTATTGTTTACTTAAGTATATATTGTCTGCCTCAAACATGTGATTTTATATATAATCTTATGTATCTACTACATTGTAGTCTCCATAGAGGGAGGGCCAAATACTTATACTTCATAGGCTTTATTGTAGTAATATAATATTAAATGTGGTTTTAAAATTCTTCTTTTTTCTTCCCATCTTCATGGATTAAAATTCTTAACACAGTACCTAGGCTTTTTCTAGATATTCAATACATGTTAATTAAATTAATATTGAATCTTTATTATAAAGTCATGTAATTTTAGTATCTTTGTTGTAACACACCCAGACCCTACTTGCAAATAGCAAATTTATTAAAAGGCCATTTAGTTACATAGCACATATGACTGAAAAGTGTGGCAGATGAAAAATGAATTGGGCTAGATGCAGTGCCTCACACCTGTAATCCCAGCACTGTGGAAGCCTGAGGCAGAAGGATCACTTGAGGCCAGAAGTTCAGCCTGGGTAACATAGCAAGACCCCATCTCTACACAAAATAAAATTAAATTTTAAAAGAAGTGAATTTGATCTTCTTGGTCAGTAGAATTTATTTATTTATATAGTCAGGAAAGGATAATTCAGTTTCCTTGAAGGATTTTTTTATACATTATGTCTGAACCTTTATTATTATTATTATTATTAGCTTACAATTATAGAAATATCATAAGGAAACTCCTTTGTCTCATTATGCTAGACATTGTACACATACTTGTCTTGCTTTCATTGTTAATAAGTTATTATAAAGTCAGTACTCGAATAATAGTTTGGTTAGGCATGGTGAGCTTTTTTATTTTTATGATAAATAAACATGAAACAGACATCAGATACTGGTGAAAATACTACAACTACTGTGCTATTACTACAACTATTTATTAGACATGTACTACATGCAAGCACTTTACAAGCATTATGTTGTTGAATCATCACTGCTACCCTGTGAAACAGGTAGTTTTTACCTCTGTTTCCATAGGATCACCCCATTAATAAGTAGCAGGCCAGTGTCCTTCCCTGACTTCAAACCTTGATAGCTGTCATGTCAGTTGCAAAGGCGGCTAAACTGAAGTTAAATGATTCTCCAATATCTCATGTCTGTTACACATTTTAATCTGGTATTCAAGCTCAGATCTGTTTAACTCTAAATTTAAACTATTTCCCTTCTGTCACACTATATCCTGTGTGTCCTGAATTGTTAACTACCTTTGATGACACTAAGTTTCTATTAGGAAAAATAAGTTCTTGCCAACATTGTAATTATTCCACATTTTTAAAGAGAAAATTATTATTGTAAAATATTTGATAAATTAATATATACAAAAGATTAAACAAAAAGTTCTATTCTAGACAAGAGAGAAAAAAGATGAAAATGTGCTTCCTTTTACATAATTTGCAAAGCAAAGAAAAACAATTATGAAATAAATATATGTATATATGTAACTTTAAAATTTATTCTAAAGGGGCCTCTGCAAGAAAAAGAAAACACTTTTTTAAAGCCATATTATTGGTAAGCATCTTTATTACTTAAGGAAGAGACTCCTTTTGTAGATTCCTGTGACAGTGAATTCTGTAGCCTCTGTTTAAGGAAACAGCAGATACTATCAGATGACCTCAAGTCAACCTATCTAGACCACTGATTAAATAATGAATGAATGATGTAGTGATCTGGATGTCTGAACCTGAAACGATATTTTAACTTTGATACTTTACAGATATATTTAAGCCTCTGTATAACTGGAAGAGAGAGAGGGAGATCAAATTTATGCTTCTTAACATAGCAGTAAAGAGATTCCTTTGAAATAGACATAGCAAAATAGAGGGTCAGATTTTGGTAATGAGTTTAAAGTTATATAGTGTGACCAAGAATGAAGACATCTTCCTCAAAACAGAGACTGTCTTTTCTTAAAAACTGCACGAGCTTCTAACATTTTTCAATCTCTCATCCCTAGACAGTTTTGTAAAGCTATCATACAGTAGTCTCCTGGCCCTAGTATCAATTGAGTTATAAAAAAACAAATAAATTTTCCCTTGCCCTTTGAACATGATGTCTGATCATATATTTGGTTTGATCTGAAAATGTGTAGTAGAAAATATGGAGGCCAAGGTGGGCAGATCACCTGAGGTCGGGAGTTCAAGACCACCCTGACCGGAGAAACCCCTTCTCTACTAAAAATACAAAATTAGCTGGGCGTGGTGGTGCATGCCAGCTACTCGGGAAGCTGAGGCAGGAGAACTGCTTAAACCTGGAAGATGGAGGTTGCAGTGAGCCAAGATCACTCCATTGCACTCTAACCTGGGCAATAAGGGCAAAACTCCGTCTCAAACAAACAAACAAAAAAAATTAAATATGTTCAAATCCATTATTATATAAATAGGAGAGAAAACTTGATAACTTTTAAAGTCTGTCAAGAAAAATCAGTTTTTTGACTAAGGAAAGAGAATAAGAATTGCAAGCAGTGTGCTTAGAAAGATAATTAAAGACATACAAATACATATAACCAGTGGACTGTGAGTTTATTTAATAAAAGGTTACATGGTGATTACTATGGGCCAGTTGCAGTCCTAAATGCTTTTCAAATATTAACTCATTTATTCTCATAATAACTTATATGGTTGGTACTGTCATTATCTTTTCCCAGGATCACACAGCTAATGAGTGACAGAATTTAGGCCTAAGTAGTCTACCTCCTATTACCACCATATTCTTAACCACTGTGCTATGCTAAAATGTTCAATAGAGATACTAGAGCCAAAATTTAGAAAGAGACTATATACAAAGTAGCATTAAATGGTAGAAAGAGCCTGGATTCTTAGAGGCAGAGAGATCCAACTAGTTGCATAGTCTTAATCAAGGCTTAATTTTTTCAGGCTCAGCTTCATCTGTGAAAACGGAGCAAAAAGTAGCCAATTAAGAGGATTAGTAGTATCTACTTACACAGTACTGGCACATAGTAGGCATTCAGTATATGTTAGCAGTTATCATTTCACTATCATTACTTAAACAGATTTCCAAAACTGAGAATTTGAACAGAGATGCAGTCTACAAAATATAAGGTATAAAAGTCTATCAAAGCAATAGCAATCTCCAGCTCCCTCTTTTTATGAAAGACACTGACAAGATCTTCTCACAGGTTAGGCCTGAGACAGACCAGGAGGCATAGATAAAGCCAGCTGGCCATCCAAATATTGGTAGTGTCACCATGTTGTAACAGGATTCTGTCAACATTATACATCAGCTTCCTGTTCACTATGACCAGTGTCACCTCTGGAGATTCTAAATTAAGGTTTAAATGGTGATTGAATGACTATGGGTAATTTAGCTTATCCACTTATTTAACAAATAAGGCAGGCCCTGTTCTAGGCACCCATAGGGGTACAGTAGCAAACAAGACAAACAAGGTTCCTATTCTCATGGAACTTTTTCAACAATGTAAAAGATAGGATGGAACAGAAAAGTAGTGTGTGTGAGTATATGGATACTTGATCTTGGGAGTGGTAGTAGAGTGGTTTCAAGCAGAAGTAGAAATGGAAATCCTTGGAAATTTTGTCAGACATATAGTTGGGTATCTATAAATAATAAAATTATGGTACCTTTATTTGAGTGCATTATATAAATTAACATTAGATTAAAGGTACTTTGTATAAAATATCTTTATTTCTTGAATTGTTAAACCAGCTAATCGGTATTCTTACTTTAGTTATTAGCATTCTGTCAGACTTGTATAGTAATGATTAGTTACCCTTTATTGTACTTTTGGCATGCTTCCCATGTTTAATTTCATTGTAGGGAAGGAACACATAGTTAAGGAAATTGCAAAGAGAGGGAAAACTTAAAATAGGGAAAATAATGACATAGATTCAAAACTGATTTTAACTTACTGTTATAATAAGAATTTTGCAAGTAGAAGGAACAAGAATTATTTTTTAATTTGCATTTGAAATGTTGTGTGTTCAGTCTCACAACTTTGAACTTGAAATTTTTTATTTCCTGCAGATTAAAGATTATTTAACACCACAGGGAAAAAAATGGAAAGCATACTTTGGAACAAGTATATAAAAATAAATTCTAAATAGCTGTTAAGAAAACACTAAAATTGTTCAACAAATATATTATGAATGTCTTAAGTGCGTATGTATATCATCTTAAACAGTTTTCCCTGTGAAGTAATATTATTACTTACATTGTCTCTTGCTAGAATATAGTTTTAGTATCTGCCCAAAGACATTGAACTGAAAATGTGTGTGAAATGGCTAAGTTAAATACAGACTTTGTTACATGCTGAACTATGGAGTAAAGTGTCATTAGAAGGAGCAGAACTACGGACGGCTCCCCTATATTCCGGCATTACTCAGTTCCCAGATCCCTGCTGTGTAGTTGTTCCACTCGCCAAGAAGCCTGTTAAAGAGCCCCCAAGAGCATGTGTACAGCCCTCCATGTTAATAGTTAATTGGT